TGGCAGCCCTGCGAGCGCGCTGGGACACCGTGCAAGCGATGGGAGCGCCGGCGGTGTACGCGCAGCTCCCCAAGGACAAGCGCAACGCCTACAAGGACACGTCGATCGCCGAGCTGGCCGCCTATGCGAGCTTCCTGCGCTACAGCATGCAAGGCGGCCGCTCGGAGGTGGCAGCGGCGGCCTGGAGCAGCCTCACCTGCGAAGAGATGGCGGACAGGACCACCGAGGAACCCGGGGCAATGCTCGCCACAGACCCGCGGTGGGCGCCGCTCCTCGGCGCCTACGCCAGCAAGGACCTGACCCCCAGCGAGGCCGGCATGCCCGAGGACGACCACCACGTAGACAGCGACCACCTCGGACCCATCGCCAAGACGGTGCACTTCCGCCTTCCCGAGGAGGACGACGACCTTGGCGACGGCGGCCACCGACGCAGCTACGGCTCCCAGAAGTCCGCGGGTGCAGCCGCCTGGCACCCGGAGGACAGCGTCGACCGCTTCACCCCCGCGGGGCGATGGGGTAGGCCCCAGGGCGCTGCCCACCCCAGCAGGGCGAGGGGTTAGGCCCAAGGTCGCGTGCGCTGTGCACGGCAACGCCTCGACTGGATCATCGTCGTCACCCCAACGGGGCGAATGGGGTAGGTCCCAGGGCGTAGCCCCTCCCTGCAGGGCGAGGGGTTCGGCCCAGTCGTGGCGAGGGCGAGTTCAGCGAGTTCGGCAATCACCTGAACGACATCCTCTGAACGGGTGCGCCGCTAGACCGCTACATAACGGCATAGACTCGATACTGAAAGGTCTTGAAAGGACAAGGAGCGGGGGGAAGGGGGAGGGGGAGGGGGAGGAGGAGGAGGCGGATGATAATAATAATAATAACAATAATAATAACAATAATGATAATATAATAATACTAATAATAATACTACTAATACTAATACTAATATTACTAAGAATAAGAATAATAATAATACTAATAATACTAAGAAGAAGAAAAATAATAATAAGAAGAAGAAGAATAATAATAATACTAAGAAGAAGAAGAAGGATAATAAGGAGGAGGAATAGGAGGAAGGAAAGGAGGATACGAGGGCACCAGGCGAGGCGCGCGCGTCCGAAGGACGAACGCGCGGCGGCTGAGGCGGGGCCAGCGGGCCCCGTTCAATTGATAACCACGGTACTTGTCAGCGACGAAATCGAATTACCCAAATAAAAAACAGCAAAATGTCGGACTCGCGGGGGCCTCCCCCAGCCCTCCACCAGCCTGGCCTGGCAGCCGCAGCCCCCGCAAGCGCGGGGAAAACCACAATTGTACCAACAGCCGATGCGGCCATGACAATGAGCCAAATACTACTGCAGCCAAAAGAGACGCAACAACTCCAATGTAGAAGCCCAACCGCCGTAGCCAAGGCCGCCCCCTGTCGGAAGGCAAGCGCGACCGTCACAGGCAGTCGGCCTTAATCTCCCTCGCGGGACGCTTCCGAAACGAACGGGGGTGAGGGCGTGCAGGGGGCAAGCGCAACCGTCACCGACAGTCGGCCAGAACTCCCTCACGGGACGCCCCCACACGCACTCAGCGGCCAAAGCCTGGTCCCTCCCCCGTCAGAAGGCAAGCGCAACCGTCACCGACAATTGGCCAGAACTCCCTCACGGGACGCTTTTGAAGCGAACAGGGGAGGAACCCATACAAAGATGCACCAATGCAGAAGTAGTGGACTCGCGGGGACCCCCCCCAACCCTCTACCAAGCAGGGCTGGCAGCCGCGGTCCCCGCCTGCGCGGGGAAATACGTACATTGAACCACCAGCTGCCACCAGCCATGCCAATGCAGCAATACCAGACAAGATGCCACGATACAACCAATATACACATAGTGACAGACTCGACAACTCAATATGGACACTCTCATCAACAGACGCGCAAACTATAACCTCCCCCGCGACTTGGGATGTCTGCCAGCCATAAGAAGTCGAAGTCGGCCACGAATCTTTGACCAGTACGACGCAGCCTTGCCCTCACCCGAGGGAGTTCACATAGACGGTGAAGAGCAGCGGAATGCCCTGCTCCCGACCACGACACACACACACACTTTTCACAAAAGACCGTAGCACCCGCACGCCTGAGTCTGAGGCCATCCTGCTCAACCACCGCATGCTCATCCCATAGAGAAACCGCTCCCTGCAAGACAGGCGAACACGCCCTCCTCCTCGTCAAAGCGGTCCGCTGCTTCCAGCGCAACCTGCACCGCCCGAGGAGTGGGGAGGGCTTGAGCTCCATACTTGCGAATACGCACTTCAGCTCGAAAACGGTCAACGGCATTCGGCATGCACACAGAACGGATAAACTGTCCGTCGTCGTGCGACAACACGACCTGCATATGATAAACCCAGAAGCAAGACGAACCAGCTGGTGCTCAACCGCCGTCGCCTGTGGCTGAGGAAAAGAAGAAGCACGCACTGGAACGTAAGGCTGCTCAGGGCCCCAGCCTCCGAGAGTGCGCATCCTGTGCATAGCCCACGGCATGTACTTTGCAACGCACTGATGTTGCCGCAACTCCACCTTCCAGTATTCCTCGTAGACCTTGCTGACTCTATGCTCGAGCGCACCAGCACGAGCAAACCAATCAGCCCAGCCACTTCTCAAGGAAAATCGCTGTGGTATACACATCTGACCATACTCATCAATGGACTTGTGCGAAGGCACCCAGAATGATGACGGCCTCCGCTGTCCAGCAACTGCCTTGATCTGTCTCCACATCGTCGCATGCGCCCCAGAAGAACAATCAAGAGTATCTGACCAAGAGTTCCCTTCATCGCACAGCGCCAGCAAGTCCGTGCACAGGAAGTCATCTCACCCAGAAGCTGGAAGGCCATGTACACAGCATAACGTTCAGCACGTCCAGTAGATTGCAGAGCTCCTGGCAAAGCTCCGTATGCTGTACGCGAAGGGAGACCAGCTTCACTTAACATGACAAAGGCCCAGCCGCAGCGCATCAATTCAGGCACTGCCGAAGCAAAACAAGAACCGTCGGAGGAAACATGATTGCCACGACAACTCGCCCGCGTGTTCCAGTCGCCCCAGAGAACGTAGTCCTGCTGCGCCCGCGGGGCCGCCACCGTGGGCGGCATGCACGTCAAAGCAACTCCAATCTCAAACGCATCCCAGCCGGGCTCTCCTAGCACCTTGAGCCCCTGATCGTACATGTACTGACGCGGGCCCTGCAACTTTTCTGGGACAACGCCTTCAATCTCCTCAGCCTCATTCAAAGGAGTGGAGGAGGGGGCCCTGTTAGGGACCCCTTCTGCAGCCCTAGACCCTCCCCCCACACGCAACGCCAGAACCCCTGAGACGAAGCCAAAACTGGGACAAGATCGGGACTGGACAAACCTGCCCCAAAGGCCCCCTTCTGGGCCCTAAAGGGCCCCTGCCGGGGCCCTACGGGCTCCTTTTCTGCAGCCCTCGCTGCCCGGGACCAGGACAAGATCGTGCTGGGACAAAGCGGGAACCTTTGAAATCCAGCAGTTCTGGAGGATGTATCGGGCCCCGCGGCTGTTCGGAGCGTTCCGGATCGCACTGAGGGCAATCGACGTGCTATGAACACGTGTATCTGAACAAGCCGGGGAACTCCCCGGACAACCCCTCCAAGATGGAGACACCAAGCGTCCCAACATGTAAGTGTGGACAACGCTAGGACGGGAACACCATTCCCAATTAGGGATGTGGCCACCGCTCAAGCGGCAGCACTATCCCCAATCGACGATGCGCCTAACGCTGAGGCGAGAATACCATCCCCTATCAGGCGATTGACATAGATGTTGGGCGAAAACGTTGACCTGGAACCAGCGATCCGACGGGCCCCCGATAGCGAATCCAGACGTTCCTTGGCGGGGTGAGGGAACCGTGCCCCTATCGGGGATGAAAGGCGATTGGGGGTGGATGCATCTTCCCTGAACTTCTCCCCCGCTAACGTTGCCCCTGATCTCCATGCCGGCCCTGGAATGTCGCCCCCCTGGCCTCTCCTGGGACGCGGCTGGGGCAGACACTCGATGGGAGTCCCACCGTGGCGACGAGTGGCCTCCCAGAGGCCCCAGAAGAATGAAAAACACTCGGAGACACTGATCCTCGACTCTTCATCCTCGGGTCTCCGGCGACCGCTCGGGACGATCTTGGTCCCCCTGGGATGCTCTCGGCTAGGCGCAACTGCTGGAGAACATCCTGAGACAAGAGAACGTCCAGGACTCGAGCCTATCGAGATCCTCTATCCTCCATCCTGGAGCCTATCCCCTCCCATCATCGGCGGTCTCGCCTCGGCCTTTCTCGCAAGGTGAGCGGCGACGTGGAGACCGCGAGCCAATTACATTCTGACATCCTGAAGCTGGTATCCCACGGCTGCAAGGTTTCGCCCTTGATTAAATGATCTCTGCTGTTGGCTCCTGCCCTCGATCCTCTATCATCGATCCATTATCCTCGATCCTGTAGCCTGTCCTCGATCGTCCTGGGGTTGCCTGGATCGTCATCTGTCCTCGATCATTTGTCCTCGATCATCGATCCTCATTTGTCGGTTCTCGATCGATATCCTATATGCGGTGTTTTGTCTCCAGAGTGCAGCCGCCCAAGGTGCAGCCGCTCAGTATCGGTGCGCAGTCCCCAACCGATATCCAAGAGTGCAGTCGCCCAAGGAGGCCTATGTGGCGAGGCCGCGGAGGTCAAGCAAGTCTGGATTCTGGAGCCCATCCCTCCCACCGTTGCCCCTGGAGGTGAGGGGCAACGATAGGGGTGGCTGGCATAGAGGGGGGGGGGGGAACATCGACTTGGAATCGGCGATACATCGCCGATAGATCGACGACAGGCCCCCGATAGCATCTCCGCAGCTTCCTGGACGGGGCGGGGCTGTCAGACCCCTCTCGGCGATGGATGGACGACTGGGGGTCGATGCGTCCCCCCGTGTGCCCAGCCCCCCCCCCACCGTTGCCCCCAAGGAGGGCGGGCAAGAGGCGCCACCCGCCGGGGCCTCAGCGCGCGCTCCGCCTCAGAGGGGCGGCACTGCACGGCATGGAGGCAGGCCAGGTTGAAGTGTACCTGGAGGCGGAGAATGAGGTGCGGGCCAGAAGGAAGACAAGTGTATGAGGCCCCACGAGACCCACAACAGGAGGCTCCCGAGAGGCCCCCGAGTGGCTCCCAAGAGGCTCCCAAACTGCCCCCCAAGAGGCATCCGAGAGCGCCCCGAAGAGGCCCCAAGAAGCATGCCTGGGGACCCTGACCCACGTCAACGTCGTCGTCGTCGTCGCCGCCGCCGCCGCCGCCGCTGCCGTCTTCGCCATCCCCCTTCGGGGTCGGCGGCACTGGGCGTATGGCTGCATGTTCTTCAATGTCCAATGATCCTGTGTTGTCGGGTCCCTGTTTTGAAAAGACGGCGCCCCGCGTCCTCCTCCTTCTGATCATCCTCCTCTTCCCTCCTCCTCTGTTTTCCTCTGCTCTCCGCATGTCGACCAGTTCGTCACACCCGGTACAGCGCTCCTTGTCCCCATAAGGAGCTCCACCAACAACCCTGTGGCGACGTTCACATGCGTCCGCCCCACCCAAGGAAGCTCCAAGAAGACCCCCATGGCGACGTTCGCATGCGTCCGCCCCACCCACTACAGCGTTTCGTGCCACCCAGGGAGCCTCACCAATGGCCCCAATAACAGCATTCGCATGCGTCCACCCCACCCCGTACAGCACTTCACAACCCCCAACTAAAACAACCAAAACAGCAACAACAAATAACTCTACCAAAGGCCCCGTGGCGACGCCCGCATGCGTCCATCCCACCTAATAAGACGCTTCGTGGCTGCATGGGGAGCTCCACCGAAAGCCCCAGTGGCGACCTTCGCATGCGTCCGCCCCACCCAGAACAGCGCGATGTGGCCCGATTGGGAGCTCCACCGAAGGATCCAGTGGCGACGTTCGTGCGCGTCCGCCCCACCCGATACAGCGCTAAGTGGCTCCCATAGGGAGCTCCAAAGAAGGCCCCAGTGGCGACGTTCGCATGCTTCTGCCCTACCCATTACAGCGCTTCGTGGGCGCGTAAAGAATTCCACAGAAGGAACCAGTGGCGACGTTCACACGCGTCCGCCCCACACAGTACAACGCTAAGTGGCTCCCATATGGAACTCCACTGAAGGCAGCAGTGGCGACCTTCGCATGCGTCCGCCCCACGTAGTACAGCGCTTCGTGGCAACACAGGGAGTTCCACGGAAGGACCGACGGATCCAGTAGCGACGTTCGCATGCCTTCGCCTTAGCCAATACAGCGCGTCGTGGCCCAATCACCACAATGGCGACGTTCGCATGCGTCCGCCCCAGCCAGAACAGCGCGTCGTTGGCCGATTGGGAGCTCCACCGATGGATGATGCTGATGGTGGTGATGCTGATGAAGGCGACTATGAAGATAATGACGGTGATGACGAGGATACTGCTGAAAGTGGTGGCGATGGTGATGGTGATGGTGATGATGATGATGATGATGATGATGATGATGATGACGACGGCGGCGGCGGCGGCGGCGACGACGACGAGGATGAGGATGATGCTGATGATGTGGAGGAGGAGGAGGAGGAGGAGGAGGAGGAGGAGGCAGAGGAGGAGGAGAAGACGGAAGAGAAGGAGTAGAAGGGACGGCGGCGGAGGGGGAGGAGACGATGGGATGTGGAGGGAGGACGGGGGGGGGAAGATGGTGGAGGAGGAAGGTGGAGGAGGGAGTGGAGGAGGACTATGGATCAGGGTGGTGATGGTGGTGATGTTGATGATGGTTATGATGCTGTAGTTGCCTGCTCTAAATGGCCCGGAGGCCCAGCAGTCCACAGCACTCACATACTGAACTACCTCGAAGCAGCGACGGCCGTCGACACTGTATCGCCGAGCCGCCACTCGACAAAATCAGTCTCAGATCGTCTCCATGCCTTCTTGTCTCTCGCCAACATCATCCAATCTTGGCCGGTCTCCATCCAATAGTACCGCGCGAATTGATACTCCACACGCTCCATGGGCTAAATCGGCGAAATCCTTGGTTTCGTCCCTCTGGCGTCGAACGCATGGCATGCCGGTATCTGTTCCACTGCAATACTTGTGATAAGATGGACTCGGGGTGCGTCACAATTCTCCGAGCGACATGGTGATGATGATGGTGATGATGATGATGGTACTGATGATGATGAGGAGGAGGGAGAAGAGAAGAAGAAAGACGAGGAGGGGGCGGAAAAACGGGAAGGAGGATGAGGTGAGGCGCCCCTAACACTTCCCCTTGAAACTCCACACCATCCCTCCACGGAGGCCTGCCTGGCCCGCCCTGGATCGGCGGCGAACCCGTGGGGGAAGTTAGAAGGAAAAGGCTTTCTCAGAAGGCTTGGGGGTTCCCCCGCCCTTCTGAGAAGTTTTCTCAGCCTGACCCGAAGCCATATCGGGGGCGCGCAAACCTGGATTCGCGATCCATGGATTTGGCGCGATGTCGCCAAATCCACAGATCGGGGGAGGTGCCCTCCCCCAAATGCGGCCGGTGCCGCCTCGCTCGGCGGCGGTAATCCGCGGTTTCTCCTGAAAACGAGACCCGTCGCTAATCCACGCCCCCTTAATCCATGTTTGCGATCGCCTGAACATAGAAAACCTCTCAGCAAGAAGGGGGCCTTCTGAGGAGCCCCGCCGCCTTCTGGGGGGGCCTTCTCCTTCTCACTTCCCCCCCCCCCCTGGACCGCCGAGGAGCCCCGCCCAGCCCGCCCGCAGGAGTCGCTCGAGGGGGTATACATCGCTCTCGACGAGAACACCCGCCGGTCGGAAGAACTGGGCGGAACCACGAGGTAAGAAGGCGTTGGGGGTAGTTTGGGCTTCCGCCCGCCCCCTGAAGAGGAAGGACGGAAGACAACCCACCCGATCATTGAAGTAGGCAGGCGCCCAAAGGGCAGGCGCCCAAAGTAGGGGATCTGGGAAGCTAGAAATACCTACTTCCAACGACCGTCGCGTATCCTCGGAGTTCTCGTGCAGCGCGGCGCGCTAGGAAGGCAGAAGGGCGACGCGGCAAACAGGCACACGACGCGGGGAGGTGGAGGTCGTCGTCGCCGCGGTGGTGGTGGTGATCGTCGTCGTCGTCGTCGACGTCGTCGTCGTCGTCGTCGTCGTCGTCGTGGTCGTGGTCGTGATCGTGGTCGTGGGCGTGGTCGTGGTCGTGGTCGTGGTCGTGGTCGCGGTCGTGGTCGTGGTCGTTGTCGTCGTCGTGGTCGTCGTCGCCGCCGCCGCCGCCGCCGCTGTCGTCGTCGTCGTTGTCGTCGTCGTCGTCGCCGCCGACTGGAGGAAGCGCGCAACGAGGGCGCACCGCCCGCCCGAAGTGCGCCATCGGCAGCTTCCCGAGCACCTGCGGCGGCCCCGCCCCTCCAGGCCATGCCCTCCGAGGCGTTGCCAGAGGTGTCCCTCCTCCCTCCTCCTCCGCCCTCTTTCTCCACCTCCTCCTGTCACAGGGCTCGGGGGGCTCGGAATGTAAAGGAGTAAGTGGGGAGGGCGAACGTACCTTTCTGTGCTCAGTCTGGAAACCTCAGCGACTCCAAGGTGAGTCGCTCCCTAAGCCTAAAAGGCTGTGCACAACTGCAGAACACAAAGAGAGGGGGAGAGGGAGGGAGAACAAGAACCCGGGACCAGGGCGAGCCGGGTTACGATGACAGTGCACCCAACTTTGGTGGGTTCTGCAGGGGAAGACCCCCCGCCGGACCCACCCTGGCCTGGTAGGACAGGTACATGGGCTCGTCAGCACGAGCGGGGATCTGGCGGGCGACGCGCCCCGCCTCGGGCTCCTCGCGGCCTCCGCTCCTCCGGCTCCTCTCTGCCTCCTGTGGTACCTCCTCCTCTTCCTCAACCTCCTCGGCCTCCGCCTCCTCCTTCTTCCTAGAGCCGTGCTCCTCCTCGCTTCCACGGGGCCTATCCTCCTCAACCTCGCCCCTTCTCCTCGCTTCTTCGATCAAAGCTCTCCGGCTAGCCCCTCGAGATCGGGACTTAAGAGACATATTCAACGCTCGCTCGTCGAGGTGTCCCCCTTCGTCGACGAGACACATCGATCCTCGACACAGTAAATCGTGCAGGGCCAGATTGCTTTTTGACGGATCGGCGTGGGTCAATGGATCGGCAGGTACGCGCCCGTGGGGGAGCCAACGGATCTGCGAACCAGTCGAGCTCAAAGAATCTCTGACAACAGCAAGCTCGATCGCATTACGTCGATCGGCCCGGGACCCAGCCGCATTTTTACTCAACGTGTCAAACACCGATTTGGCATCCACCACGGCCAGGGACGCAGCTCGATCACTCAACTCGCAAGTCGAGGACATCACAACCGAGAACGGGGAGGCCCCAAGATTCCAAGACGGCTTCTGAACATCTCCGAAGACCGCATCACGCCAAAGAACCTGCAAATACTGGGCCTCAGCCACAGCACCGCTCAAAGCGAGAGTCTCTGCAGCGACGGTGGAGCTGATCACCCGCTTCAGTCGCTGCGAGCGCCACGAGAGCAGTGACGCGCGAGCTCTGCGGTTCGCCCGGATCGAGGCGTCCGCCGCCATTACCAGCCAAGCACCCTGGGATCCGCCGCGGCTCGCGGAGCCCGGTCCGGAGGCGTCGGACGCCGTGACGAACGCAAGCGAAAGCGGGTCGAGCCCCCACACGGTCAGCCTCTGAGAGGCCGTGGCCTTCAAAAACTTGCAAACCTTGATGAGCGTGAGAGCGTGGGAAACGAGAGGGGTCGGCATGGCCCCCGCGAGAATCGAGGCCGATCCCGCCACGTCAGGACGCGACTCCCTGGCCACCCACTGTACCTGGGCCACCACTGCTCGATACGACTTGACCTCAGTAGGCGTGAGGGGGGAATCAGGGTCACAGCGACGAGAGCGATCGAGAGGCATAACCGTAAGCTGCTCCCGTATATACTTTTCCTGATCAATGGTTATCCGATCCCTAAACTGGCGCAGGTGTCGACCGGCAAACTCCGAGTCAGACTGGCACCACTTGCCAAACCGAAACCTGGACGTCGCTCTCTCCTTGAACCGATCCAAATACTCCTGGCGGCCGGTCACAATGAGGTCGTCGACCTCAATAAGCACCAGGCCCTCAAGGGCCCCCATTCGGTCCCGTTTAAGCCACAGGCACGGTTCAAGCATGGACTTAGTGAAACCCTCCCCCGCGAGCCAATCAGTCAGCGTCCGATGCCACAAAAGAGGAGCATCGTTAAGACCATATACGGGCGCAACCAACTCGATCAACTGATCTGGGCCAATCGGCAGACCCGAGCACGGTTCAACAAAAATCGTTCCTCGGGGGCGCTCTAAACGCTGGCTCTGGCAAAAAAGCATTCTTCGCGTCAGCTATGGTAAGGGTCCATCCGAATGACGCGGCAATCTGCAAACAGGTAAGAACGCTCTCGGACTGAGGTGTCGGGGCATAGACCTCCAAAATTTCCGAGTCGGGATCCTGGTGGCCGTGGACGCACCAACGGGACTTGGGCTGGGGGCGAGAACCTACCCCCTCAACCGGTTTCAGCCGTCTAACCATGCGAGAGGATAAGATGCGATCGGGAAACCGCCTCCGAGCTGACACCGACTCCTCAGGCGAAAGCACACGAACAGCTCCAGTGCCCAGCATCGCTGCCCATTCCTTAGCGTCTGACTCCGAAAATCGGGCGCGATCCTCCGGGGACAAGTCTTTGAGTCTCACCTCGGCCCCCCGGGGATTGATCTTGGGCGGGGTCTTGTCAGACGCCGAGGTCGGGTACGACAGCTCGTCGAAGGGACCTAAGTCTCTCAAAAAGAAGCTGACCAGATCGGGGGCTCCCCGCACCGCGGACCACTCGAGGAGCTCTTGGACCAGAAAGCTATCCTGCTCCTCTTCAGGAGCGTCCCAGTCACAACCACCTCCACTGGCCTCCGGGTCCTTTCCGCCGGCACCCTTACTTTCGCCGGCCTCCTCCGCCTTCTCGCCGAACTCCGCCAGGAAATCACCGGCACTAGGGCGGGGCCCCGGGGGCCTGCTCCTGCCCGAGGACCGCGCAGCGGGGGCCTCCGGGGACGCGCGAGCGTCCGACGACGGTCGAGCCCGGGGGGCAGAGATGTCCCGTCCAGACCCCAAAACTCGTGCCAGAGGCGGCCACTCCCTCGCCATGGGAACGTCCAGCGCCGGGGCCTCCGGCGCCGGGCGAGGAAGCGGCTCGACGCTCTCAGGGACAGGATTGCTAGCGGCCCCCTTCGCAGAGGGGGACAAAGCCGACCCAGGAGAGCCAGCGACAGGTTGACTTGGCGGGCCTTGGATGGCCGCCACTCGCTGCAAAACGGAGGGTCCGTCTGGGTACTCCTCAATCGGGGTAAGACGCGGACGCTTATCCTGGGGCTCAGGGCCGGGGGAAAGCCTGACCTCGCTCCGGGTCTCCGGGAGGGCATCCGATCCAGGTTCCGAGGCGACCGATCCGACCGCGGGGACGAGGGAATCCGCGGGGGCCGAGGGCACCCTGGTGCCCTGGGAAACCTGGCGAGAGGGGCCCTGGGAAATCGGCGGGTTCGGGATCACCGGGACTTGCTGCCTCGCCGAGGGGTCCTCCGGGGGCGCCGCTTCGGGGGCATCGTTGGCCTCGGGAGGTGGGGGTCCTTCGGCGGTGACATCCACCGCGCCCGACCTCTTGCCGGGGGCCCGGATGTCCTCGCGAAGGCGGTCGAAAGCAGCACTATCCAACAATTCGGCCCCCATCGACTCAGACCGAGTCGCTAGGCGCACCTGCTCGGCAGTGCACTTCAACAACTTGGCCCGCATAGCCACCCACACGGTCCCGCCACCCTTGCTTCCACCGGCTCCCGCTGACTGGTAGATGACGACCCCAGGACCAGTCCACCTGTCACGCTGGAAGGAGTGAGATCGATTGGAGGCGGTGATCCTCCGAAACACGTAAACCCAATCCCCCGGCCTGAATTCTCGCTCCTGATGAGGGCGAGCACGAGACGCCTCAGCAAGCCTAGATCGCGCATCCAGACCGGCGAGCGCCTTCCGGGCCTCCTCACGGATCCGATGCTGCCGTGCAAACTCGCCGGCGGCCGAATCAAGGTCCACAGCACGGGCCGAAACGTCATCCGAGCCGATCAAGTCGACTGGGTCGTCCGACAGCAAACTCCGAGGGATCCGAGGGTTTTGTCCGAAAACAAGCTGGGACGGGCTGAAACCGCCACGGTGAAAACCCCGATTTTTGCTGGCAACCACTTCGCACAGAAGGAGATCCGTCTCCTCCCGGGTCTTGGGATTGATCGTCTGGGCTGCCTTCGACAGAGCTTCCTTCACTAAGCCACCGTGACGCTCACATTTGCCATTCTGATGCGGAGAGCTGGCCGGAATGACGTGCTGCATCACTCCATGATGTTCGCACCCTCTCGCAAAAATCCCCTCAAACTCCCCTCCCCCATCACACACGAGGACCTCCGGGACTCCGAACGGCCTCACCCACCATCTAAGGAACGCGGCCCAAACCGACTTGGCCGTGTCGTCAGACAGAAGAGCGCACTGCTGGAACGAGGTTCCATGATCAATGATGTTCATGACGGGGGTGCTCTTTCCTTCGATGTCAAGATAGAACAGGTCTATCGCGACAACCTTATTGAAAGCGTAAGTGTGGGGCAGGTGCGCTCTCCTGCGCCAGCCGGCCTTGGTGTGTGGAGCGCATTGATCGCACTTAAACTCATCCTTCACCCAGGTCAACACCTCCAAGCGGGCTCCTGCCACACGCAGGGCACGAAGGAAATCTTCATTCGAGGGGTGTCCGAGATTCACATGCAGGCGGGCCACCTCCTTCTGAAGAGCCAGATCCAGAGAGGTCGCCTTCGCGGGGCCCTGGGACCGGGGAAGGCCCTCGGCGGGACCCGAGCGGCCCCCGGAGGCCTCGTCTCCATCGGAGATCGCGGGATCGGCTTCTTCGACCGGAAACGACCACGACTCAGCCTCAGAGGCCTCGTCCTGCTCAAACAGGGTAGCGGGGCCCGCCTGTCGGACCTGGGAGCGCCGACGGTGAAACGCCAGAGCTCCGTCCTCCACTCCAGAGGCTAATAAACTACTGATCAGCTCCCTCGGGAAGTTCTCCGCGGCGTGCGTCCTGGCGCCGCCGGAAAGGGGAACGTGGACATGCTGGTGACTGCAGCGTCGCAGGCAGTGAGCAAGGAGGGGAGAGGAGTTGGACATCACCCTGGTGGGTTTCTTGGCCGGTCCGAGCTCGCCAGTCCACAGCCCATACATGCACTGATCCAGCTTCGAGACCTGGGCCTCTGGCCTCTGGCACAGCACTCGCACACACTCGAGATGCCAGGAGCTGGCCGTGTCGGGATGTTCCAAGGCAAAGAACCGACC